GATACCACCTCTCCCCAGTGAGAATGGCACATCTTCAAACAACTACCAACAACAAATGTTGGCAAGGATGTGGAGAAAAAGGAACTCTCCTGTATGGCTGGTAAGAATGCAAACTAGTACAACCACTATGGAAAACTGTTTGAAGGTTCCTCAAACTGCTAAACATGGAGCTTCCCTAGGACCCAGCACTCCCACTCCTATGTATCTACCCAAAAGACACAAAAACACTGATTCAAAAAGATACCTACACCCCCATGTTTACTGCTGCTTTATTTACAATTGGAAAGACATGGACACAGCCCAAATGCCCAAAAATAGATAACTGGATTAAAAAGATGTGGTACATATATACAATGGAATATTACTCAGAAACCAAAAAAAAAGAAACACATGTCTTTTGCAGCAACATGGACGGAACTGGAAAAGATCATGCTTAATGAAATAAGCCAGAAAGAAAAGGAAAAATACCGGATGGTTTCTCTGATTGCAGGAATATAACTGACCAGGCGAGAAAATAATGATAATGATGAACAGCTATATACCAGAGACATTTTGTGGGGGTGGAGTGGGGAATGGGATAAAAAACAGTGGGGGGAGGGAAATGCACTGAACTGTGGTGATGGCACATGGGTGATTTGGTGATGGGAAGCCCAAGGGGATTGCAACTGAGATGGAAAAATGCACAAAATGATGTAAAAATAAACTAATACATATAATAAAAAAAAATAGAAAGAGAAAAAAAAATAGAACTTCTGGAAAAGACACCCTGGAAACACCTCTCAATAATAAAAGGATGGTAAGCCAAGAAGTCAATCAAAGCAAGTATTTTAAGACTCTGAACAGGAGGTGAAATTAATTTATCTAAATATAGGACCAAGACTAAACTCTGAACACTAAGATTCCAAAATGACTGCAAATACAGATTTATAATATAATGAAATCAGATGGAGAGGCTGAATACAAGGCTCCTGTTTTCTTCTTATTTCAGAAGAAATCAACAAATGCTATCTAAATTATAGCATGTAATTAAAATGTCACTTCAATATTTTAATGTAATTAAAATCTTATAGACAAATATTTTAGCAATTAAAATTTCTGTGGCAAAGGAGTATTTTTTGAATTTTAACAATTCCTTCAGTTTCACTTTATTTATTTTTAATCTTTTCAATTCAAGTAAAATTCCATTCAGAACTGTTTATTGAACGTGCACTTAAAGAATTAAAACTTAGGTCAAAAATGGACAGAAGAGAGAGGTAGCAGGATGGCAAGCTAGAAGGAAACCTAAGAAAGCCACATGGAGCAGCAAGCATGTGATGAAGAAACCGTGCTTGTTTCCTGACCCTGGATTGTCTAAGGCAGATGTGGATGAAATACCTGTAGGGAAGTGGCTGTGTTTATATTGATTTTGATTTTGCTCTTTTCCTCCCAGATTTGCCTGGCCATTTCTGACCCTTTTCTATGGGTACCGGCCAGAAGGTGCTTTAGGCTTGTGGCAGGCTTTCAGGCCTTGCTTTGGACCAATCCCTTTTGGGTTGAGTTTTGCCCACAAGGGGATGGTTAACTTCGGGTGTTTGATTTATATTCTTTGTCTTCTGTGTTGTATACTCACTGTATTAAAGTTCCTTTTCATTTAAAAAAAAAAAAAAAAAAAGAAGAGATTAAAAAAAAAAAAAGACTCTTTACCAGAAAGGAAATGCAAATGGCCAACAAGTATATGAAAAAATGTTCAACATCACTTATATTATAATCAAGGAAATGCAAATCAAAACCACAATGAGATACCACTGTACCCCAGTGAGAATGGTCCATACAAAAAAAAAAAAAAAAAACTTGCAAAAGCTAATTTTTGGCAAGGAAATGAAGAAAAAGAAAATCTCCCACTCTGCTGGTGGGAATGCAAATTGGTCCAACCACTATGGACACAATGGAATGCTACTCAGCAATCAAAAAATATAAACTCTTGTCATTCACAGCAACATGGATGGAACTAGAAGGGTTTATGCTCAGTGCAATAAATCAGAAGGATAAAGAAAATATCAGATGCTTTTACTTATAAGAGGAATATAGGGGAAACAAATAAGGGATCAGGGAAAATTAAAAACAAAAGCAAAAGAAAATTGACAGACAACTACAAAACAGCAACATTCTGCAGGGGAGAAGGAGGGAGAGAGATCAAAACTGGGGAGGGAGGAGCACAAGGGACTATGGCGATGGTGCACGGGTGAATTGGTGGTGGGAATTCTATGGGGACTACACCTGAGAGGAGAAAGCAAATATTGTACAAAAATGAACAATGATGTAAACTATATAAATAAATGTTATAAAAAACATTTCAAGGACCCTAAGGGAAAAATATTAAAAATTAGGATTTAAAAACAAAATTTCAAAATAGAGGGGCTTGCATGGGACTATGGCGATGGCACACAGGTGAACTGGTGATGGGAAGTCCACAGGAATTACAACTGAGATGGAAAAAGGCACAAAATGATGTAAAAATAAACTGTCATAATAAAAAGAATAAAGATCCCATCATAAAGTTATCATTTTAGTCCTGTACTCCCACTCTAGTACTCTGTCTAAACCTATCTGCCCATGCAGTTATTCCTTCCTGCTTAATACCTTCTTGTCTAGCTTGCCTACCTTTATCCACCTGGCTACTCTATGCTGCCTATCAATTTATTCATGTCTATCAGCTCAGTGAAAATGTCCCCATTTGTCAGTCTGCCAAGCTGCCTTCTGTCTGTTTACATCCAGTCTAACCATCTCTTTTCTCTGTTGACCTCTCTCTAACCTTCCAGCCCTCAAGGCCAACAGACATACGGACCACAGAAAACCTAGAATGATGCTCTTCTCACATTAATAGCAGGTACAAAGGTGGCAGTGTTTTAGTGACTTGTTCTTGCTCTTTTCTATAAATTACATAGTCTTTATTAAACTAATAAATGTTATCTTATTTTTTTAAAAAAGTTGTTCTTTAAGGTAAAATCTAATGCTTCTTTAGAGCAGTGCATCAAATTTTTCACACCATAAGCTAAGACATTTTTCAGATTATATACATTGGTATGCATAGAATGTACATAAATAAATCAGAAATCACACAAAGAAATATAATCCTCGCCATGTTCATTGCACTGTGAAATACTTTGTTTTATCCTATCTCATTTCATTATTATTTTAAATATCAACAAATGTTTGACCAACAAATGGTCACAGCAGGTAGTCTGAAAAACACAAGTTAGAAGTTTCCAGTGGAAGAGGCCAGGGACCAGAAGTGCAACACCCACAGCACTCTACCACCATCTATCCTCCCTACTGCAGGGAGCAGTTGTTTGAAGTTGTGGTCAAGTTTGTCAAATCTTGTCTTCCTTCAGTTACTATCTACTTCTACTACCGTCAGCTCACTAAACCATCTGAGGTGACTGGCCCATAATCAGCATTTATTCCCTCATCTCCAACCTGGATACCTGATTATCTGCTGTCTTGCACTGTTCTGTGGTGTACACATGCATCCTATTTCCTCACTAAGAATGTGCAAGTCCTGATGTATATTTTAAACTTCAATAATCTTTAGCTTTAAACAGTCCTTGAGTAATTTGAAATTGAAAAATAAATTATTATGTAAATCATCATATTTTGTCTTTGTTAAAAGAAAAATGCATCATTGACCAAGAGAGGCCAATGGAAAGTAGTGCTGAAACCCATGCACCTTTCCCCAAATGTTTCTATTTTAGCATTTTAACAATACCCAGTACTCACATTTTAAATTTCATATACATGCTTTCAAGTTAATTTGATTAATTACTAAATGTAAATGTTTTTGAGCTTCATGATATAAAGATGCCTCATAACTATTATAAATAAGGTACTAGATTGCATTTTGAATTTAGAGCACACTATTATCAGGGTGGAACACCAATAATGGAAGCAGATAGAAAAGTGTGTATAATAAATCAACAATTACTCAGTTAAGGTAAAACCACGTCAATTTAGTAAGTATCTCTTATGCAAAATTTAAAAGTTCTATAATGTACCTGGTCTGATATTATCCTATGTGTCTAAGAAGTTAAAACACTACTATATGTAGGTCAGGGCCTATAAACTATGTTGTACAATCCAAATCCAGACTGCCAATTGATTTTTGCAAATACAGTGTTATGACAGAGCAGCCATGTTTGTTTGTTACATATTGTCTATGGCTATCTTCTCACTATACAGGTATAGTGGAGCAGGTCAGACAAAATCATATTACTATTTGGCACATTACTGTCATTAAAGTCAAATAAAGCTGTTTCCAAGTGCCTTCTATATGCACAACAGGAGTATGGCTATGGCAAACTTAATGGAGGCAGTAGGGACAATTTTGAAATCATGGCCATTATGATAAAAGAAGAGTTTTGGTAGCATGATGTCTACATTTTTAGATTCAAAAGGAAAGACTTAGGAAATATGTGGTTCCACAGTGGAGTGTGGCATCCGAGGAGCTGTATTCATAAAAATGAAGAGGAAGAAAGTGAAAAAGTGTTCTGCATGACTCGCCCAGTGCCTGGTCATAGGGAGAGCGGGACGGGAATCCAGGAGGTTTAAAATAAGAGGCACAAAAAAAAAAAAAAAAAACCAGTTATGAGGATTACACATGAGGGGAGAGATCAAATGCTGTACAAAAACAATGATGTAACAAAATAAAAAGTTTAATTAAAAAGTAAATAAATGAAATGGGGGGGAAGCAGTCAAGCCAGAAGAAGTTCATCTTAAGGGGTAAACAGGTTAATCTGCAGCTTTGTTATCATTAAGATACCACTGTTATCATTAAGAATGTCAGCTATAACAGGCGGGCATTTTAAGAGGCAAGTGTGGAATTCAGAAGCAAGGTCTGGACAAGAAGCTTTATTGGGAATCCAAAGCCACAGTAATTTTTGACAATGGACAAGCAGTTGATGTCCCCAAGGAGACAATAAGTTTTTTCAATTTCATAAACTTATAACATACACACACACACTAACCTGGCGAAAAACTTCATTCACAAAATTGACATAACCTCGTGTTGACAAGAGAATCCGCTGCACCATTTCATACACGCTTCGATGCTCCTCTTCAATGCTACAAAGGCTGGAGTTGCTGAGTCTTCGGTCAGACAAGGTGCTGCTGTTAGAATGGTTTTTGTCCTGCTCCATAGGTCCACTACCATCCAGCTCTGTTGCCTTCTCTTGCACCGAACCACCACCAACAGTCTGGAAGAAAGTTATCACCACTGCTCAGTGATCTTCTTCAACACTCAAGAACACCTTGCAAACAAGAGTGTCCTTCTTGTGTGTGTGTGTGTGTGTGTGTGTGTGTGTGTGAAAAGGACTGTAAATGATTTATTATTATTATTATAATAGCTTGTTTTTACATCATTTTGTGCCTTTTTCCATCTCAGCTGTAATCCCCATGGGCTTCCCATCACCAAATCACCCGTGTGCCATCACCACAGTCTAGTGCATTCCCCCCACACACACTTTTTTGATCCCATTCCCCACTTCACCCATGTAAAATTTAAGACTGTCCTTCTTTTAAAGAACATTTGTTAACTATCACTTGACAGCAAGCTGAAGGCCAGTACTATTCATGGTACAGCAGCTTCAAGACCTATACTTAAAATTTTCTAAATCACCATTAGCCCTATTCCCTTTGCATTATCTTACTAGAAAAAAACTACTATAACTATGGTCTCTAGTCAAAGATAGTGGGTACTTTGGTGGTGGGTGTGGCAACACAACATATATATGAAATGGTGTGAATTTACACCCCAAAATCATATATAGTATGTTGATAAAGACAATTCAATTTATAAAAACTATTCAATTATTGTATTGAAGCAGGCTATAAAACTTTATCAAACCAAAAGTTTCAATTTACATTTGTAAATTAAGAATAAATTAAGGTGTATTAAGTTTACATTACCACATTTCATCTCTACACTTCAGCATTTACTCTATGGTCACAGAAATTTGAAAATTCATTGGAATTTTTACAGCCACAATATTGGGAAGCAGCACTCAATTCATAAGACTAAGGAACACCTTGTGGAAGAGTGCCAAGATCTTTAAGGAACATTTTATGAACGCAACCTTGATCTGAGTTTTATATTCAGAGTCTCAGATTCAACTTCACTAAAATATTTATAAAACCATAAATATTTACAAGCCTTTAGAAGCACAAAGAAATAAAATAACTCATGCAATGACTCAGAAGTTTAACACTGATTTCTGCTCTTATTTCCCCATGGAATTAAATGTTCCGTCTAAGCAAAATATATGTGTAATTTTGCTTCATTTTAATAAATTCCACTATTATTCTTTAAAGTGTCAAAAATATATAAGCAAATACCTTTAAATTCTACCTACTGTGAATATTTTTTGCAAGAAATGATAATATAGGAGCAACCCAAGACAGTAATTTCAGTAACTATCAAGGACTGTTTAAAAGCAAAACTGATATCCAAATAGTAATTGCTAGGCAAAATTAATGGAAGATTGTATTTATAATACATTTCTTCTTTATGCTTTAGCAATTGAGTCTATGTGACTCATCAAAAGCACTGTCAAAATGTGAAATAAGCTACCCTATAGAAATTATTTCATCATTTTAATGGGTCAACTATCTTCCACAGAAAAAATTTTATTTAATTTCACATTTTTATTTGAATCTTCAGTAGAAATGACCTAAGGATGAGATGAGAATGGTATAAATAACAACCCAAAATCAGTATCATAAGACATTTCTACCTATAAGACAAATTACTTAACGCATGTGGATTTTGTTGGGTTTCTGTGTGTATGTGTGTGTGTGTGTATAGTCTATATATGTGTGTGTGTGTGCATGTATGTAGTCTGAGTACTATATACAGTATATATAAGCAATATATGTACATATATAAATTAAGACTAATGTCTTGTATTTTAACAACCATGATACTTTTACCAATAACTCCCATTTTGCCCACAGGTTGAAAGAAAAAAAATATATACATATGTAGCAAATTGAAAATGGCTACCACATTCTTCAATGTTTCTTCCAACAAAGGAGATGTCTAAGTACCCTCCATTTGATCCACATGAACTATGTGACTGAGTTAACCAACAGAACAGTGGAAGAGAACTGTGCCAGCTTCAGGTCTAGGACAAGAAGTTGATCATTATACCTCTTCTCATCTCAGGAAATATTTGCTTGTGGAGCTCTAAGAAACTAAGGAAGAAATTCAATTATCCTGGCACAGAGACTACCTGGAAAGGGAGGCCCAAATGAACACAGTCCAAGTGCCCCCACTCCCTGCAAGAGGGAAGTGTGAAAGAAGTGGTCTTTGACACACCAAACCCACCAGCCAAGAAGTGAATATCACCACCTATTGATCTTGGTTAAATCCACCAAACACTGCCTAAATTCCTTACGCAAAGAATAAAATATATAATCTGATGAAAAGGTTTCTATTTAATGCCACTAAATATTGAGGTCATTCATATGCAGTCCACCATAGATAACTGAAGCAATGTACATAAACAATTATGTTTAAGGGACCCAAATAAAAGAGAATGAAAACAAAGATGGATTTCCATCATAGATAAAATAAAAAGTAGATTTCTTAAAAAATGCTTGTCTTGGGCCCTCCCCGATGGTGTAGCAGGTTAAAGCACAGCACTATGAAGCTAAAGCCACTTCAGCACGAATTCAATCCCCTGCTCATGATGCAGCAGACCTCTCCTGACCCACCTGCTGTTCCCCTCAACAGTGTATTTCAGTTAACCTGCCTGTTCTGCTCCCCACTCTGTCTCTGGTGAATCTTCTCAGTACCCCTGTACTTCTGGCCTGTACCCCAGTTCTGTGTGCATACATAATTCTTTTTTAAAAATGCCTGTTTTAGCTTCCTCTAATCTATACTCCCTCCATAAAGGCTGATTACTAAAAATATATATGTTTTCACAGACATTTAGAGTTAAGTAATGATACGTAAAACAAACTGATAATCCAAATATACTCATCACTTCTCTCTTTCATGAAGGAATTAATACTAAGAAGTGAATAATCCACCAAAGAGAGAAGTTCATTTTCTACCCACTACAATCAAGCTGGAATTCTCAACTATTATTTAGTATTCGTTGATTCCAGTGATAAACACAAAGATGACTTTTACTGCTTTGGCATATGGTGAAGCCTTAATCAGTGAAACAGACGTATCTGTTTAGACCAGGCCTGTGATGCCAAGGTTCAGGAAATTGCATGATACAGGCTGCCACTTAATCCTTCCCCTTAACCCTCCCTTCTACCCTGGTTTCCTCTCAACCCACAGTTCACACTGAGACTTGCTCCCTCTCAGGGTCAGGCTAAATGAGGACACCTAATATTTGCAAGATAAATCTAGACCCATCTTCAGGACTTATCTACTAATTTCTAATTTTTATCTATTTCCTTTTTTGACCTAGTGTTATAAGCTATTTCTACAGAAAGCCAATTTTGTTCTAAGCAGTGAGCACTGACATTGTTAGCTACCTATTACATTTTCACATTAAGAAATTTAAGGTACTTTTCTTTCAGCAAATATTTCATTATTCTTACAGCAACCATACTCCTTCAAGAAAACAAATACCTTCTCTAGCTCTTCTGTCAATTCTCACAATGGGGCCATGTGCACTGGACCTCAATTTGGTGGTCCTCCAACAAGGTAGACCGTACTCTATGTCCCAGTTTTGGGGACAACAAAATAAAACACACAAAATCACATTGTTCTCTCACTTCCACAGTGATGGTGCTCTAGCGAGTACAAAGTCCAGCAACTCAGTCTGTTGGGAAAGCCCTGTTTGTATCTGATCAGTAAGAAAAAAAAGGCACCACAAGACCTATAAGAAAGACTTCACCAAAGACCATGAAAACAGGTAGTCTACTCTTCCAGGTAGTCTGAAATTGTCCAACAACAAACTCCAAAATCCGTAGTTGATGATCTAGAGGCTCCTTGCCCTAGCTAGAGGGTACCTGGTAATCCCACAAGTCCATTCCATGGACCACCTGCATGACTCCTAGAACTTTCCAGGTCCTAGGGTCATTTTCTCACAATGTCTACTTCATTGTCCCCCCACCCCTGTATTACCTAGTAATTACAATGCTGTAAAGCAAAGCAAATGCTTTTAATTCAGCTTCCTCCAAAGCTGAGCACTACTAAGGATAGTAGTGATAAAGTAAAACTGACTCTCCAGCATCAACAACTATGAGAACCAACAACACTAATAATCAATAATTTTGGTATATGGCAGTGTGTGTTGTTACTTAAGAATTAAGAGATAAAAGATGATGAATGCCATACCTGTATGATTTTAGGCAATACATCAACTCCATTTTTAGTGTTCTGTGCTGCAGTTAGATACTTTTTTTCCAAAAAGAAAGTTACAATCCATTTAATAAAAACAACACGAGCTGCCATGTAAGGAATTTTTGTACTGTAGATGTTTTCATTGTCTCGAGTTGTAGTAATGTACACTGGCTTTGGTCTGAAATGGGGGATATCTGGCAGAACAAAGAACACATGAACAGGTTAGCAAATATGAACACATGTAGCCCCTAAAACCATTCAGTTTCCAATTAAATACACATACATTTGGTTGTTTGAAGACACATTAAGATTAAAGAATTAAAATGATTTTAAAATGGCAATTGGTGAGCTTATTTATGGTTCCACCATGCATTCTAACCAAAAAGAATTTGTTTTGTTTACTTACAACCATGGCATAAATCTATATAAAACTACATTAATAATTCTTTTTATCAAATTTGACAAATTAACAGAAGAATGTATAGTACAGTACAAAGACTGTACTGTGATAAAACTCCACACAAATGCAACACCTAATTTAACCTTATTTTATCACTAGAACAAATATAAAAGCATGTATAAACATTTTTCATCTATCTTAGGATTTTATCATCTAACACTGCACTGATGAAAACCAATGAACTTTGGTTTTACAGCCATTTCCCTTTAGATGAATCCAAAGAAACAGAATCACTTTAAGGTATTTCATGTTTAATAGAAGTCAGAAAGTCTTGTTTCATCTTTGAGTTATCAGATCTACCATTTCCAAAGAATTAATAAGAAGTTTATTTCTCATTCTATAAATTTTACAATTAATGTTAAAATAACATAGTATTGTATTTGATATGCTACTTGCTGTCAGTCTAACTTTCTTACCTATTTTTACTACCTGCAGGTACCTGTATAAGTCAGAAAATTTTCCATAATAACTTTTAATCTATGAATCTTAATAATATACCATGCTTTCTACAATGAATTTAAACTACTTATAATATCAAAAATTAGTCTTAAAGACGTATACACATGAAATACATATACTTACACATACATATACTCATATAGGCAACGGAATAGTTTTTCATATTAGTAAAAATGCTGTTCCCCTCTCAAAAACTGTTCTTGGTTTTTCATTTGAATTAATTTTATCTGTTCTAACAAATTAAAAGAAATTTGACCCCCTCCCTCCTCACACTAAGGATGCTTCAGTTCTGTGAGCCCTCATTTCTCAAAGATGGACACTTTTAAAAGCTAAATTCTAAATACCGATATTTTCTGGGTATTTAGAAGCCTCTAGGGCTTCCCATTTCTAGATTGCTCAATCACTCAAAACTATGCTTCTGCATAAGTGGTGGCCAATGGTAGCTGTCAGAGGAATGGTCAGCATAACAAAAAAGGCATAGTATGAGCAGATGCATAGCCAGGCGGGCTACCACTGGTCAAGATCAGTGCGGTTACTAACCCCACCACCCATAGGGAAAGACTTCAGGAAATGCAAACTTTTCTTACATTTAAGTATTTTAAATGTAAGTATACAAAAATCATACATTTTTAATTATTTCTTTTTTAAAAGGAATAGTATTTTTTAAAGGAATAGTATTTTTAAAATTGAGACATATTAATAATTATACTAGTTTTAGAAGTACCACATAATGATGAAATATTTGTATTGGTTAACACTGTCCACATACCTAGCTTAGAGCCTTTTTCCCTGTGATGAAGACTTTCAAGATTTACTCTGTGAGCAAATTCAAATATGAAACTACTTCTAATTACAGTCATATTAAAGATGACATCCCTATGATTGATTTCTTTTATAATTAGAAGCTTGTATCTTTTGACCACCCTTGTACCTACACGCATGCACGTGCGCGCGCGCGCGCACACACACACACACACACACACACTGGCAATCACCTATTCTCTATATCTTTGAGTTCAGAATTTTGAAGGTTGGGAGGGGGCTGTTTTTAAATTATTCCTGAGTGTAGGAAACATGGTTCCCCTTTATTACTTTAAATTATGATACACCTTAGAGGCACAAATAATATCATTAAAGTAAGAATAAGACAACTATTTTACTTAAAAATAAAGGTAACTTTGAAAGACAAAACAGCTTTCCTGCAGACATCTCTATCCAAGCTTCAACCAATACTTACCAAGTACAGGTTTGTAGATGTTTGTTAACTTAGTAAAGGATGGAAATAAATGAGGAAGATAATACTTTCGAAACAATGTAAAAAGAAATTTGAAACCAGTATCTTGATTCTCCTTATTCTTCCACTCCAAGCTTGCAGCCTTTGAATAGTATGTGGAAAAGAAAACGCACATTTACATTCCAAGTAAATACTCAACTAAATTGCTGTTAAATTATTAAAACTCCTATCCTAAATAAATTAAAACTTGACAAATAATATTGAAAAGTTTATGAAGAAATCCCATTTAAATACTCAAAAGATGACAAAAATAATTAAAAACAAATATGAGTATGATATAAAAAGTGTTTTCACTAAGGACTGAAAAAAATCAACTGAAATTTATCTCAGCAGTGATACGACAAAACATGAGTTATGGAAGTAGACCTGGCAGAGATCAACATCAGCTCCGTTTTAAAGAGAAGGACAGAGACTAAACTACACCCAGAACTCTTCAGGGGACAAAAGCACTGAGAAAAAGATCAGTAGTTTTTTTTTCTATCCATAACAATGTTCTGAAATATACTGAAGTCATAATAAATTACTTGTTTAAATCATAAATGAATGTTTTCAGTTCTACACTGATTGCTAAATATATGAGAAAGAAATATATCAAAGTCATAATAAATTACTTATTTAAATCATAAACGAATGCTTTTGGTTCTGTATTGAGTTGCTAAATACACGGGTAAGAAATACATAATCTAAAGAAGGCATGTTGATAATTACATAAGCTTTTGATCAAATCTTCCTGCCTGTACTGCCTATCCCTGTTATACGCTCAGCCTCTGGGACTACTCCCAACCCCCACCCCCATACACACACACACACACACACAGAGTCTTGTCTAGCTAATATAAGCTAATATAGGTATTACAGGTAGGGGAAGTCTAAAAAGACAAAAATAGTTTAAAACTGCTGCAGTCGTGACAGCCAATGAAGTTCTCTGCTATCAACAAAGACTCAGCATCTAAATGAATAGGCTGTAGCGGGGGTGGCTAGGGAGAGTGCTATAGAGAGCAGCTCTGCTGTTCACTCTCCCAGCCTCCAAGCGTTTATTAAAGATATGAACAAAAGAACAAGAAAACAGCACACAATTGTGTTTTTGCTTATACAGATTAATAAGATACCGCTGAAAACAAGTTTTCCTGGTTAGCAGGAAACATACGCACAAGCCAGTATGTCCTCAGAGAACAGTAGTCAATTCTGGAAAGAAGTTCTGTTTGCAGAACTTCTAACATCCTGGAGCACCATATGCAGAGTAAATGCTCTGCAAACACCCCAAAACCTCTAGCTCCAATTAGGATAGCAGGCTCCCAACATAAAACATAGACACATGAAATAGTCTATACACCTGGTCTTTGCTGCAGTGACCCAACAACTGCCCACAGGCCACATTTAGTGTAAGATCACATAAAGTCACCTCGCAGAAAAAGGCAAACAAAAAATATGGATATACAAGGAGAAAGGAGGAAATTTTCCTCCTTCTTGTTGAAAATAAGACTACCACTAAATGATACGTGATTTTGCTCTTACCTGAATAACCATATATTTCAACAGTATTTGAAGGAAAAAGCATGTTTGGTCCTCAGGGATCTTTTCCCCTGATACAGTGGGCAGGAGTGGAGAGATTTCCTCTGGATATATCTTTGCTGCAGAATAGAACATTTTAAAATGGATTTTAAAAATGGCCTCCATCAAAATACACCTACCCATACATTAGAACTGCTAACATGGAACTCCAAGCTATTGTGTATGAAAGGCTTGGAAAATGGAACAGATGCCCATGTGGTAACCTCACCCACTAAACCATTCTTTTCCCTTTTAAATCTGCTTTGGCCAGCCAAAGATCAAATACTGGTTAATTACACAGCAATAACAATAACTCTATGAGAAAAGTCCTTTGAAAACTCAAGGAACACAAATGGCTGCCACTAATAGTTCCATGTGGCCACTCTGTCCTGTGTTTGCTGCATGAAAACATATGCCTGGCAAAAGTGCCTGGGTAAACAGATCAATGTCCACATGTATGAAACAATATGTGGATTGTGGAAGAGGACAATACAGAAGTTTTGCATGGTAATTTAAATTTCAACAGTTGCAAAAATACTTCAGACATACGATGTGTCTCTGTTTTCCACTATCTCCTCCCTTCCATTCCTGCTTACTCTTACTTATTCTTCAGTAAGTTTCTCCTGTCATCATTTAACATAAAATATGCCTTTGATATCTTTAAATTTTATAGCTTGTAAGAATCTATTATAACATGAACAGAAGAATAATTATTCTTCAGAATAATTGCCATTTGGAACCCTCCTATGAAATTCAGATTATTTTTATTCAAGAAAAGGACAAACCAATGAATTTTTCAAGGTAATTTCAACCTTAAGATGTGCTGACATTACTCACCATCAGCTACACTAGGGCTAGGACTGATGAGTGTCTCCAGTGTACAGGGGCCTTTGGATGACATGATTGCTGGGAAACCCGGCACAAGGCAAGCAAAAATCAGCACCTGTTCTTCTGCACAGTTTGTTTGAAGTGCTTGAAGCCACAAGAGAAACAGCCTAATTCCTTCACATCTTATCTAAAAACAAAAAAATTAAGGCAATGAAATTAAAATCCTATATGAATTTTTAGAAATGTAATGTAATATATAAGTTCTAAGAAAAGGAAAACTAGAAGTAAAAGATACTACTAAAGGCCCTCCCTGGTGGTGCAGCAGGTTAAAGCACTGCACTGAGAAGCTAAAGCCACTTCTGCATGAGTTCAATTCCCGCTTGCCCTGGAGGAGATCCACAGGTATCTCCGTATCTATATTCGTAAATGACTGAAAAGATTTCAGTAATTAAAGAAGTTAAGTATTTTAAATCTCAGACACAACTGAAAGATGTAGTGAGCTCCAAAGGTAGGCAACTGAGAAACTGCCTGACCTCCCTTTACGTACATCAATGTAGTCCTGACTTCCAGAGCATTAGGCTCTGCAGGTAAGTCAAAAGGAAGGGGAAAATGACACACACCCACTCCCACCCTTACCCCCCCCCAAAAAAAAAAAAAAAACAGAAAGAAAAGAAAGGGTTCGGCTGACTTCCCATACAAATGAAATACACCAAAACAGACACCGACTCAGGTGACAGTGCTACCCACATTAACTGAGTGGATTCTATGGTGCATTTCCAGACAAGACCACCAATTCTACCTCTCCTTTGCATAAACCCTCATGCCTCCCTAAGCAGGTAAAATGAGTGGGAATGTTGCTGAATACATTTAGTTTGCAGTGACAGGCAGCTCGATAAATACCTAGTCAAATTATATTAAATTAAGGAAAGTTTCTACAAAAATCTGTCACCAGTCTCCAATTTTTTATGTCAATTATATTTTGCTAAATACAACTAAGACCAATAATCAACATAGAGTAAGCTGATAATATTTTAACTATAAGAAGATTCTATTAAAATATGAATTCTGGCCCTCCCTGGTGGCACAGTGAGTTAAAGCACAGCACTAAGAAGCTAAAGTCACTTCAGCATGAGTTCGATCCCTGCCCCAGAAGGTGACCCACATGGCGGGGAAGACCTTTCCTGGCCCACCCACTGCTCCCTTTAGCAGTGCACTTCATCAGTCGGCCTGTTCTGCTCCACACTCTGTCTCTAGTGAATCCTCTCACCACCCCTGCACCTCTGACCTATACACCTCTGCATAAATAAACAAATATTTTTAAAAATATGAATTCTATCATGAAACTGTAACTCTATCCCTGAGTGCCCAGAAACCACCGGGCAAGGCAGCTTTGCTGGGGCTGAGCAAGTCCACCTCAGTCTGCTGCCTGTGTATATTCTATTCCCTGGAGCCAGCAAGATCAGCTCTTGCCATGTGTCCACAGATTAGAATGCAGGTCAGGATTTTTTCCCTTTAATATCTACCTCCAGGATCCTAAGTGGCCCAATCAGATTTGAGTTCAATGGTCAGTCAAGTGTGAGCTTTCTACAGCTGTCATTCAACCTGGAATTAATTATTTGGATTAAAAAAGGAAAGCAAACTAATGCTAAATGGTCTATTCTTATGCTTAGTATTGAAAACAGAGGAATCAGGTTTGTAGGTTATATCCTGAAGCAGATATGAGGCAGAGTGAGTTTCAGTTTGAGTCAGTCAGGAGCCTAACTCCCAAGAGTGAAGGAGGATTCATCAGACCACTTTCAAAGTGGAAGCAATCATTTAACCACCTTCAAAGTGGAAGGATTCATCAGATGCTCTCTGAAGAGAAATGTATCAAGCAGATAACCTCCACAAGGTTCACCAGGCCTCCAAAGAGTTCCAGACTTCCATAGGCCTTCAGAGAGACCCAGCTGCTATACTTTCCTCCAGTCCTGCCTCTAATAACATCTGTAAGGAGCACTTTTAGCCTCAACTCAGTGTCTCAAAGAATTGCTCGCTGTTGGTATATGCCAACATCTCAAAGAGCTGTCCACAGTCTCTGGTTCTCTGGCACCAAATCCTGGTGCCACTGAGTCCAGCATTATATAGCAGTGCACAGTGCTTCAGATGTAGTTGCAGGCTGCTCTAGTGTTACCTCAGCAGCCACACTTGCAAACAGTTTCAGCTACCACCATGAACCAGCTCCTAGCCACTGTTTCACTGTTTACTGGTGTGCCTCCAGCTCCAGTCCTCCACTGATGAACGCAACATTTATTTTGGAATACTGAACACTGCAGACACTTTCTAGGGTGGAAGAGCTGACCATTTATGGCCTTAGAAACTTTGCTTCCCCAATCTCATTTGTTAAATAAACCCCACTGTCACTGTTACCCTGAGCCTGAGTGGTGTTGAAATTTAGTACATGGGTGAGAACCCACAGACAGTGAACTGTCCCCCACTATTGGCCCCATTTTAAGAACTGCTAGTGTTTTAAAAGGAATGCTCAATCCATTCCCTTTCACGATAACCGGACTTGAAGAGTAAGTGCACCACTTGTGGTTCCCCAGCTGTTCACAGCAGAATCAAAACAAGAACTCGGATTTCTAAACTCTGAATCCCACTCCAATTTGTCCTAATAATATTTATTTATTTATTTATTTTTTAAGATTTATTTATTCGTACAGAACTGGGGTACAGGCCAGAGGCTCAGGGGTGGTGAGAGGATTCACCAGAGACAGAGTGGGGAGCAGAACAGGCAGATCGACAAAGTATACTGCTGAGGGGAGCAGCGGGCGGGTCAGGAGAGGTCTGCCGCGCCATGTGGTCACCTCCGGGGCAGGCGGGAATCGAACCCATGCGGAAGTGGCTTTAGTTTCTCAGTGCAGTGCTTTAACCTGCTGCACCACCAGGGAGGGCCTGTCCTAATAATATTTAAAATGTGTACCACAATAAGTTGTGATATCAGAACAAGAACCCTAATATTATTTGCCATATTTTTTAATTAAAAAATAAAAACTATGTTGTTTTAAAATGTGTCAATATAGACTAATTTTTTCACTTTGTGGCATTACTACATTTTAGAGTAATGGAAAATTCCATTGCATTTTAATCTAAATAAATACCTTAATAGAATTTCCAGTGTGTAGAAGCTTCTTTAAAGTTGAACCTGAAAATTTAAAACAATGCATTAAAACAGAATATATGAATGCACATTTAAGATCTATTTTCAAAAGGCCAGTTTCTGAGAGAAAAAAGTATTTATGACACAAAATAAAATTATTTTTAAAATAAAAGGGAAAAGGCTGACCTTTAGAAGAAAACTAACATCAAAGGAGTAATATTTTTAAACTATGTGTGAAATTCTTCAAAATTCTCTTTGTTCACTGTCAAGGAGAGGGAATCAAGGTTTACAAAGAACTTAAACCAGTCAACTGGACCTTAATCTCAGAAAAAGGAAGTAATCTTTTCAAATGAAAATATATTGATGTATTTCACAAGGGATATTTTACTCCCAGATTTTTTAAGAAAAAAATTACATAGATCTTCAATGAAAAGTTTGTGTACTATTTAAAAACTGGATGTCAAATCACATTTACAATACCAGTGAATTTCAAAGTGATGCTCCATGAAGAACAGAGCTAATGTTTCTACTGCTGTAAGTTGGATCTACATGGACAGATACATGAATGACAGTTACGTGCATACATATGAGGAATACATTAGCCAGAACACTATCAGTGTTACAACAGCTTTAGTATTTATAACACCTAACACTGGGGCTCAGTGAAAAATCATCATCGTTGTGACTAGGTTACAGCACTAAGTAACTAATGATCTGTGATTAAGTAAAGAAAGTTAAAGTGTTAAAGTAAAGAAAGTTAAAATGTTCTCCTCCTTCCATTCCCTAATCACCAAACCATACCCAATAATTCTTAGTCTAGAGCCAGCATTTACTGGACTGGGCTCTCTCACAGCTAACATTTAAGTACCTGGGCTCATGGACTATTTTATCCCACTCCTTTATTCAACCTGGTACCTTGCCCCTTGCCTTCATGTTCATCAATTTTGGACAAAGTCTGTTCTAACTCAGTTTAATATTTGTTTCATTAAGCCAATGAGGACCTTATAATGTTTGGCAGAGCCAATGGACACTTTAGTTTCCAGAAGACTTGGAATAAAGTCTGTACAAATAGTTCTCATGCCATGTAGACATCTGGCAAATCTATCATCTTTCAGCACAGTCTCAGACCATTTTTTCCCAGTCATTTTGTATGACTACTGGGGCTTGATCAGCCTTTGCCTTCTTAGAATGGGTCCAACATTTTTATTTGTAACTTCTACCCTACCCATAACTGCTTATATATAGTCTCCTATACAGGGAGGAAGAAGATACATATTAAAACAACACATTTACCAAGTGATATACAAAACACCTGAGCTATACCTACAACTTTTTAAAAATTAATTTGGCAATATATTACAATAACAACAGAAAGTCAATACATATACTGTTGATCTATTCCATTCTGTTATATCCAGAGACACTTGTATATGTAACAGCAGTATAGTATAGCAGTTGTAAGTCAGAATCAGGAGCCAGACTGCTAGGGTTCCAAAAGAGGTTCTGTGCTTACTGTGCAATATAGGTCTCTGCTATTTAATTTTACCATTCCTGACTTTTCTCATCTGTAAAGTTGGAATAAAGAACTGCTTAATATCTAAATGAATTGTATACATGAATGCTTTGAACAGGATCTGGTATATGGAAAGAACTTCTCCATAAGATAGGGCATCAACTATTTTCAAAAGAACATTTAAAAAACAACATTAGAAAGAAAAAATTATACAATGGAGGCATACAGCAGAGGATTTCCAAATGAGAACTGCTAATAAGTACCTCAGAGCTTTGCCTGATTACTTAAGGTATTTCTTAAAATCCTACATTAACAAAGATATTTCTCCACTAACTTTACCAGTGAATTTCAAAGTGATGTTCCATGAAGAAACATCCAGTTCGCAGTTGCTATAGGGTATATCTATGTAAGCCAATAAATGTGTGCCAGTTAAATGCATATACATTGGGAATTACTATTTTTTTTAAATATTTATTTGTGCATACAGAACTGGGGTACAGGCCAGAGGCTCAGGGGCGGTGAGAGGCTTCACCAGAGACAGAGGGTAACAGAACAGGCAGATCGACGAAGTACACAGCTGAGGGGAGCAGCAGGCGGGTCAGGAGAGGTGACCACGCCATGTGGTCACCTCCGGGGTAGGTGGGAATCGAACTCATGCGGAAGCGGCTGTAGATTCTCAGTGCTGTGCTTTAACCCGCTGCGCCACCAGGGAGGGCCAGGAATTACTATTTTAAATTAAAAATAATCCCTATCTATATCATATCTGTTTTCATTTTTAAACTCCTTATCCAAATTATGGTCATACATTCCCCAATCTTTCATGTGCCTTCTGGTTGCCACAATACTGACTCAAATAAAAAAAATAGTAAATGAATAAATAATATTAGTTGGACTGATTTTATGAACTTCTAACTTTCATTGTCACTTAACAATAGATACACCATAAGTCTGATAACTTTTTGAGGAAACAGTAAAATACTAGGTGGGAATATAAGAATAAAAGTTATGCACAAAGTACAAATGCATTAAAAAAAACCTCACTAATCAAAATAAACAATATTAATGCAGTGGTTTTGCAATGTCAAAATTAATTTTTAAAATTCATGAAGAAAAATATTAAAATTTTAAATACAGTACTGAGCTGAAGCACAAGTCATGTGATACAAGTAAAAATGTGTATCACTGTGTTTATGTGTGCGAATTCATGTTTAATGATTTCACAGAAGATTAAAGTGACTGAAAAAAAAGTATATTAACATTCATATTAGTTTAAATGTTTCGGTTATAACAGAATTTATTATACTTTTATTTTCTTGGCTTTCATGTTAGTTAATTCATCAACATTTCCAAAGCCCACTTTGTTATCTCATTTTTAATTGCGAGAATTTCCAAGTTTGACAATGTCTCATAAAAGTAGCAATTTTTTAAAGGTCTCTTAAAATATTTTATAGCTACATGTTCACAAAGATATTTCAAATCCAATTTAACATTACTAAATCCTTTCTTATTCAAATTTTTAAAAAACTCCTTATATATCATACCTTTATATATCATACTTTTATATATCATACTCCTTTATATATCATACCTCAAGTGAACTAATAAGCAGTAATACCAGGGGATGGATAAGAAGATAAGAGAAACCCTTTTGGGGAATTGGTATGCAAGGTCTGTTGAAAGCTGCCAGTAGAGCAGAAACACACAAATTCTACTACCACAATATCTCGCCACTTACAAGAGAGCAATAGTCCACTGGATGGATTTTAAATTAACTGAAAACTTATCAGACACCTAATAATATATAACCAAATAAATTATAATTTATACAAAAACAAGTTAAATACTTAAATATGAAGCACGTAACTACAGAACTTCTAGATGAAAACATAGAAGATTTTTGTGATCTTAGATTAGGCAAATATTCCTTAGACATGGCACTAAAAGCACAATCCACAAGAGAAAAATTGATACATTGGATTTCATCAAAATTCAAACAAGTACTCTATGAAAGACAATTTAAGAAAATAAAAAAATAAGTAAGTCAGAGGTTGGGAGAAAATATTGCCAAGTCATTTATTTGATAAAATACTTATATCCAGAATATGTAAAGAACTCTTAAAAGTCAATGTTAAGTGGGGAAAAAAGCCTCATTTTAAAAAATGGGCAATAGCTTCCAACATAAATTTCACCAAAGGCATACAAATGGTAAATAGCATAAAAAATATGTAAGATCTTTAGTAGCTAGAGAAAAGCAGATTAAAACCACAATAATATTCCACTACCACTAAACTGAAAATGTTGATCATGCTAAGTATTGACTAGAAAGTAGAGTAACTGGAAGCCTCGCACTGAAGGTAGGAATATAAAATGGTAAAACTACTTTGGGAAATAATCTGGCAATGAACCACACACCTTTATAAAATTCAGCTGTTCCACTCTCAAGAGACAAGAAGGCATTTTTCCTTACAAAAGTGGTATACAAGTGTTTACAGTAGCTTTATTTTTAGCAAAACACTAGAAATAACCTAAATTCCTGTTAACAAGTGGATGGATAAAAAGACTAATATACATCCATACAATGGAATACTGCATTACTCCAAAATAAATATATTACCAGCACAGATTTCACCCTTCACCTCCTATTAATATATTACCAGCACATGAATTTCAAAATAATGATGTTGAGTGAAAGAATGCAAACAATAGGGTATATACTATATGATTTTATTTCTATTAAGACCAGAAAATCAATTCTCAAATATGGTGACAGAACAAGTCAATGGTTGCCTAGGGACTAGGGTATGAAATGGTAGAGAATGGGAAAAGAACATGAGGAAACTTTGGAAGTGAGGGTTATGTTTGTTATCTTGATTGTAGTAATGTCATCACAGATACACATCTCTGTCAAAAACTGACCAGAATACATTTTAAATACATACAGTTTATTGTAGATCAACTGTTTCAAACAAGAAAAGAAAAAACAGCAGGTGGCCTGGGAGTGAATAAGTAAATAATCAGGATGAAGGTTATGGTCAAGCAAAGGTCTATTGATGACAAGGATCTGGAAGATGAAATAAGAAGAGAATGGGGCTTAGGGGTGGGCTGGGAGTTTGTATGAAGGGAAAGTACTGTGAGGGAGCAAAGTCATTTAAAAAAAGAAAGGAGAGTGATCAGAAGACATGGCAGCAATCTGGAGAGACAATGTAACAGTCAAGACAGTTTTCCACAGAGGGTTCTGATCTCCTTCAGTTAATGGGGTTGAGTTCATAGCCTATTTTCTCTTATGGCCAATTCCAAATGTCACTTACCAGCCCTTCTGTGGAAACCCAGGATTCAAGTAGCCAAGGAGGTGAAATCAAGAGCTGATGTTTCAGAGGATAAAACACAAAGAAGTTGAGTAGTAGGGAGGGAGCACAAAGAAATAAAGATGATAAAAGCATCCAAAGAGTACCCCAGAGAGACACCAAATGAGCTAACATAACATTAGGGTCAGCTGGGTCCCTGGATTTAGCTCAGCCTGAGTCCTTACTGC